CCGCAAAGGCAGTGCAGCAAAACAGTAGCGAGAGAAAAGAGTTTTCGTTTGGGACTTGATCGAATTTGGCGTTTCCGATTTCTCGCTTTTTCTAATAATCCAAATTTCTTGAGCAAATCACAAACTAGGAGGCGACACAAACGGACACGCTGGTGTAGGTACGCAGCTCTCCGAAGATATCGCATACATCATGTTTGTTGTGCTGTGGTGTTGTATACGCGGCCCTCTACGGGTGCTTTGCCACTCACACTTGCGTCGCCCCACACAGCATCACCACCGCGAGCCCAAAGCGTGCACTGGGACAAGACGTCTCCTAGCCCCCCCACAACGGCTGACGTCACGCACTTGATTTTGAACGGGTCGGTTTCAAGGGCCTGAGCGTAAGTCTCCAGCAAGTCTCCGGCAAGCTGGCACATCGATCTTTCTACGGGTTTGGGTTGTCGCACCCTACTCGTGGCCGGTCCTGACCCATCATCCGCATCGCCCTCTCGTAAGCCTCTTTCAGGGCTGCGCACATCGCGAGGAGAAGAAGCAGCCTCCGACGCGGTGGGGGTACTTCCCTGGACGGGATCCACAACATCATCAACGCTGACGCCGGCCTCAACCAGAAGCGGTTTTTCTAGCGCACCCGAAACTGGCCCCATGAAATCGTTGCTGGCCTCGGGCCAACACGCACACACAAGTCTCACCGTCGTACTACAGGTATTGTGGGCTGTCGCGTAAACTTTTCGACGGTCGCCACCTTTTGACTCACGGCACTGATTAAGAAAAATGGAACGGCCGGATGCGTGACAAGGCGACAAACTGATTGGCCGGCTCTCACAGTGTTTGGTTCTCTTGTCCGAGTAGCCTGACAGTGCAGTGCAACTGCTCTCATCTTTTCTGTTTTTTGTTTTTTTGTAAACGCCCGATGCGCGTGACAGCAGCAGTGTCAACGCGCCAACCTCTTGGGAGTTTTCGTTGTGCCACCGGTCGCCCCGGGATTACATGTAGTGGTTAACCCCGAAATCCGCTACTAGCACCCAAAATCAATCGTGAGTGAGTAATCCCTTCAGCTGCGAAAATTAAAAAAAATTGCAGTTGTGTGAGGTCAAATAGTGCAGGTTCGGCATTCGGCACTGTTCGAAAATTCCTCAATAGTGCAGGTGCACGCAGTGCAGGTGAATGATCTGGACACACCCCTGCACCCTGTACTTAGCGGCCCCAGTAGCCACTTTCCACAGCCAGCCCCGACGACAACAGAACAGGGCATAGGAGAAGCAAGAACTGATCAATAGCAGGTTTACTCAGAGGACTACGCGAACGGAAGGTTAGTCAAGGGGTGTCCCATAGCGTTCTCGGGGTTCGGTGTTGTGTCAGCAGAGCCAGTAGATGCTCTCGGCGAGAAAGCAGGACCAGGAGAACCCGTCAAAGTTACACCAGGGAAACCACGATACCGGAGATCTCACGACGACACAGCGGACGATAGCTGCTTGTATACGAAGGATAGTCTATAGACTCTAGACTATGTACCACCCACAAGGAACCTTCAAATCTCAACTCCACAGAGATTCCCGCGGTACCGCCAATCTCCCAGTGTGGGCTGAGGTCGGCTTTTGAGACCCGATCCGTGCAGCTTTGCGAGATGTGTTAAGCTTGGAAATACTCTTTGTCTCGAGCGAGCTCTCAACTATTAGGTCTTCATATGTATATGTGCGTGATACAACAACAACAAGACCATCATGAACGGGAAGATATGTATGCAACGAAGACAACCATTCAGTTGCGCGGTTGGCATCAAGTTTGCTAGCATAGGGCACACAGACATTATTTTCGAGGGAGAGACCTGAAAGCACGCATATTGAGCAAAAGGATGAAAGCACGCATATGATAACCAAACCGTGCAAGTGTGCAAGTGCACCCTGAAAGTGGACCACGAATCCACGAATACGAAAACCGATATGTATGTTTACACAGTCCCACCCACAGTCCCATCTTTCACAGTCCTGCCGCGGAAAGTCGTCACGGAGAGCGGCCGGTCTTGCGACAGAGACAGAAACGGCCAATTTATTGCCGCAGACACCGAGTAGGAGCGTGGCCTACAGAGGTTTGTTGGGTGTGCATCGCAGAACAGAGCTCTGGCAATGCCCGTCGTGACAAGGAGATCCTCGAGGGCGGCAATAAATGCGATGAGTAAATAAAACAAAACAAGCCTGGGTCCTCGGAACCTTCGTCTTCCCTTTGCTCAAGCTAAGTGCTGATGCCATTGGCTTTGCGTGAGGAAAGTCTGGCTTGCAACCAAGGCAAACGTACTCTGTTGAGATGCTACGGCTGCCGTGGAAAGTATTGAAAGCCGCTGAGGTCCGCCCGCAAGAGCCAGATGTACCTTAGATTAGATGGCTCACGTTGTTGTTGTCGGCCGTCCCCGGCTTTGCTATGAAATTTGTCTGCTGCGTACACCTTATACCCAGCCCAGCTCGGCTCTTCCGTTGCAAGCAACATCACTTACACCGGGATGGACAAAATGCCCCGAGAACATGGCGAGCAACGATTCTCCCTCCTTCTTATGCCGTTGGTGCTGGCAGATACTGTAGTAGGTGCATCTTGGCATCATCAGCCGAACAATGACCTTCGCCAAGATCATTCTTCTCGCTGCGGTGCTCTCAATGGTTGGCGTAACTCGTGGTGAGTCTATTACATAAGCAGCACGTGGGGGTAGCACGTGAAGGTAGAGTACACTTTGTCAGTTAGAAAAATTGGTTATACGGTGGCCATTGCCCTCGTGGCCTCTTGGCGAGAGAATCGCACTCTGTCAGAATCATCTATCGGTTCTCCAGCCCAAGGCGATGAAGATGGCGATGCCGCTGACTTATGAGTGACAGAACCACAACAAGTTGACGATGAATCGATTCCTGATGACATTTCACTTCGGCGTTGCGTTACTGCAATTGCTGGGGCTACTCCGGTGCCCACACCGCGGTCTCAAATCTGGTGGACAGGGCAAGCAATAAGCACAGGTGAATCGTTCGTTTCCTTTCATTGTTAAAAGTTCCACTTGTGACCCAAATCAATCAATTTGAAAAGTATTTGCGCCATTCACGTAGATCTCGGGCAACAATGTTGTCGTCAGTTATCCTCTCTTTCCACCAACGGCAGATGGAAAAGGCAGGCTGCGTTGTTGTCGTTCTACATTAAAGACAGAGTGTGACGCGTGTCGCCTCTAGCACCTTCGTATTTTGCCGTCGAACATTTCGTATACCTCGTGTCCTCCAGGCCGACGACGGGGTCTCGGCTAGTCTCATGGGTTAGTGGGACACACAACAAACCAATATAACCCCAACGAGTGAAACACGAGAGGGGTGGAGTGGAGTTGGAAACACGTAGTATATGTAGTCAACAACGCCCGCAGCAAAGTGCACGACCACCCACGGGAATAGAGCGCTTGCTGCCCTGTCAACATCAAGGTGAGATGTTTAGGAGGCGGTTGGTGATGGTTTCCTCACGTTCGCCGAAATCCTGCATGCTTACGGTGCGCGGCATGTTCTTCGGGCATTGCGTCAAGCTTCGGTGTGATGGGCTTGCTGCCACCGCATAGAAGGAGAACGGTTAATAGTGTCGCCCGTACGAGGCAAGCCGCCGAGGTACTTAGTGGCGGCTGTGTTCGTGGTCCCGGCGCTTACGGATGTGGGTCGCCTCCTAAATCAGGAAGATTTCCCCCAAGTATATGGTACGCTTAACGTTGTTGTTGCCGTGCTGGAACTCGATAACGAAACTGGTTCGGTCCTTCATCCAAAACACGCCGCACCCTCTCTGTTGTGACTCTGACTTCGCGCGCAGCCTGCGATAGAACCGAGGACGCTGCTGCGCTCTCTGCTGCTGCAGCGGTTGGAGCGGTCAGTGAGAGTCCGCCCGTCGCCACTGATGTTGAGGGTGTTGCTGTCACTGCTGAGTTATCAGCGCGTTCAGGTTATTGGGGTGAGTAAGGAGTTCAGTTGTTTCACCGCGCGAAGAGACATCTATCTGCCGTCGTATGTTTGAAACCGGTTTGAGCGTGCGCAGCTCGACGACTGGATCGTACCAAAGTAGCTCCCTGCAGCTCCCATCTTGGCGAGAGTCGGTGCTGTGCGAACATATGTCGTTTTAGTTGGCCGAGCGAATAAGTGTGTACTTGGCAGCTGCATATCACACGCATTCACGGGGGGATTCAGCATTCTTTCATCCGCTATCTCTTCCGCTTCTGTTGCAGTCCTGGAGAACGAAACTACCGACACGGCCGTCGAAGGGGCCCAAACTGAGGTGGCGGGGAATGACAAGCGTGCCATGCCCAACTCCGCCGTGGTCTGTGTGGACGCGGTGGACGACAAAACTGCTGCCGCGTGTGAGTGTTCTGGAACACTGTCGTCAGTGGCTGTGGACCTGATGTGACGTAAAGCTGTTTCCAGGGAATGAGAGGGAAACGACTACCGGAAAAACTTACAAGCTTGTGCCATTTTTGTACATGCTCTTTCAGAGGCACCATAACGCTTTGGACAGTCATGCGTTTGGGCTATGAGTGGAGCGTATTTCCATGGTAGAATCTACTCAAACATCCGGGGAACCAGATCTCGTTATCCAAATCGATTACACCGCCTTTCCTTCGGGATACAACATCATCAGACACAAAATGTAGGTGCACTTACTACGCCGTTATGCCGTGTACAGGTTCCGCCGCGAACTTTGGAACGTAGTTGTCCGACACCAGATGACTAGAACGGGTCAGGGGGAAAATGAGACTTTTCAGGGTCCCGGGATCGCGCCAACCCGCTGCTCTAGTACCTTTTGCGTCCCTAGCCGCAACCGGGGGTCGGCGTGTAGGCTATCATCGGTTTTCAATTTCATACTACTGTAGTGTCATGCTTTCCAACAAGATATTTTGGTTTTGATTATTCTTCTCTCCGATCGAGCGTTTCACAGGCACGGGACACCCCCGTGCGCCCACGGCGGTCGGTGCGTGGCCCGAAAACTTACCGCGAAACGCCAAGATGCCGGACATGACGTACCTCAGACGCGTGGGCGATGAGCTGATCGGTTACCCAGGAAGAACAGACGCGCGTTTCCCGGAGGCACGCGAGTACATGGACATCTATCTCAACAATATCGGTGACCCTTATGCGAGCCCGACCAATCACAAGCCGAACACCCACACAGAAGAGCGAACGGTGGTTGAATTTTTTGCCAAAGACATCTGGGGGTTTGAGGACCCGACCCAACTATGGGGGTACGTGACGGCGAGCGGCACCGAAGGCAATCTTCAAGGCTGCTATATCGGGCGAGAGATATTGGCCGCGAAAAGTGGTGGCGCAATTCAGCCGATTCTTTACACCTCAGTCGAAGCACACTATTCCCTGTTCAAAACCGCGCGGCTGCTCAACCTTCGCATCGAGAAAATCGAAACGGACGCCCGAGGGTTCATGGACATGCAAGAGTTCGAAAAGGCCTTGGAACGAAACCGGGGTTCCCCCGCATTGGTTGCCGCCACGATTGGAACCACCATGAAAGGCGCGATTGATTGGCCGGAGCGCCTGTATCAGGCGCTGGAGCACACCGGCATGCGAGACAACTACTACATGCATGTAGACGGCGCTCTCATGGGCAACGTTCTGCCACTTGCACGAGCGGAGGGCTCCGGCGGAAACGGGTTTGATCTACAGGCGCAGTTAAAGTACGCCCACTCGATTTCAGTTTCCGGGCACAAGTTTATGGGGGTTCCCTTTCCGTGTGGTGTTTTTTTGTCGTGGAACCGAGAACACCTGGAGGCCATCACGCAAGAAGTCCAGTACATCGGAGGACACGACCTCACGGTCATGGGAAGCCGTAGCGGTCACTCCGTGTTATATTTTCTCGAAGCGATTATTCGAGAGGGCAGAGCCGGTTTGGCCGCGGCGGCCCGATCATGCTTGCAAAATGCCCACTACCTGTTGGGCCGTATGCAAAGGGAGTTTCGCCACCGCCAGCCGTTCCTGAACCCGGATTCTCTTACGGTGGTGTTCAACTGCCCCAGTGACGCGCTCGTCGAAAAGCATCAGCTTGCGACAACCACGCCGGCTTGCGGTACTCGCATAGCGCATATTATCACGGTTGGCCACGTTTCCAAGGCAAAAATTGACAGGTTCCTGGACGATCTGAAAGTCGAAGAAGCAACCCGTGAATACCTGTAGGGAGGGTGAAACAACCGTTTTCATCTCTCAAGGGCTGGGTTGCAGCGCAAAACCTCTAGTGTCTAGGCAGCAACGGGTCGCTTGATGCGTTGTGTTCAATTTAAGGGTTTGGCGATAGCAACGCAGCTGCATGCGAATTAGAATCAAGTACCCGTGTTCGCCACGAGTGCCTTAGTTGGAGCGTTGGTGGTGCTGAATCGCCTTGTGTGATCACGTCGGTACTACAGTAGTAGTAGTAGTTGCCTGTTGAATCAGAATGCAGCTCCATGGTTTCAAGAACAATTCCCGGTGGTGTCGAAGGAGAACTAACGTTTGCTAGTAGTAGATCCAGTTGAAGGTAGCTAGTGAGTACGCTGAGACTACGGAGTTACTGCAGTTCTGGATTGGGCGTGAGAGATTGTTTAAATTGATCGAACTTGTTTTGATGGAGGGTTTTGTTCAGCTTGGGGCTCACATGTCCCGGCGGTCTTCTGGTATCTTCATGGGATCTTCTTTTGCACTAGATTTGGCGATTTATTTATTGCTTTTTCGTACACGAGTAGACTATAGTTTTTATTTGGAAATGATAGTCGAATAATATTATGCGGCTGTGACGTTGGACAACAGGACTCCTGTTTATCATTCGTTAGCTTTCATTACTCAGTGGGACGAGAACTAAGGGGTATTGTTAACGCAACGAAAAAACGCTTTTTTTCACCGAACGGTGAAAAGAAGATCCGATTATTTTTCGCTTGTTCTAATTGTGATGTCATCGCGAAGAGTTCGTTTCCTTCCCTGAATACACGTTTTGCTCGACACACAACAGGTTGACATGGTATTGCTCACCATAGAGCAGCGGTGAAAGCGCGATGAGCAGCACCCGACACAGAGGACAACACACTTAAAAAGATCCCGTCCACCTGGCCTGCTGTTTTCAGTTTTCAGCAACAACAGGCGCAGGGCAGAGTGTCGCCACCTGGGTGTTGCTTGCGATTTCTTCAGTTTGCCAGCTCATTTTTCACGGTTGCGACTCCCATCTTTGACCACCACCTGCGCAAAGGTAGACGAGCTCAACAATCATAGGGCGGCAGCCGCGCTGACGGCCAGCATCATATAGATGGCCAATCCGAAAGAATTAGCGTGTCGAAGGCCCTGTTGCTCTACTGCTGCGTGGTGCCGTGGATTGATGTTGATGCGTCCGACCAAAAACAGATCATCATCTCGCCGCATTTTTTCCAACGGCATTTTGGTGAAGAGGCACACGTCTCTCACACACTTTATTGAGCAGCACCCAAGCACCCAATACCCACGAAGCAGCACGGCGCCGGGAGGTGGTATCATATAGACAGCCGAGCCGAAGGAATCAGCGCGTTGGAAGTCTTGGTGCTGCTGCTGTACTCGTTCTACTGTTTCCGTGTTTGCTACGTGTGATTGAAAAAAAAAAAACAGCACCAACAGCAGCAGTTGAAGACGAGAGCACCACGCAATGCCTAGTTTTGGGCCAAGAACGGACTGAACGCCGCTTCTGCCGCTTGTCCATCTCCACAACAGACCTGGACGTGAGTCTGGCAGGTCTTTCTAGCGTTCTCAGTGATGTTACAGCGCCCGCGGTGTGCTTGTCCGATGCTTCTGTCAAAAACATGGATTCGTGAAAGTAGCAAGCCCCCAAGAAACCCGGCTTCTTCTTTTCACGCTTTCGGGGAAAAACGCCTCCATATACGTTCAAGAAATCACGGTTCCGTTTTTTTTTTCGTGTTTTATTGGTCGATTACAATAGCCCTTTTATAAGAGATAATATTGATGACATTATAAGAGTTCGACAAGCGGCTCAGCAAGAAGGAGACTTGGACATGAGTAAAAATCTTTTTGGGTATGAAACTTGTTCTTGGTGGCGAAACTATTGGAGGGATGTATGCCCCCTTCGAGAGTAGTTTGAATATCATGGTTGTGGGTAGTTCGAATGATTAACGTGGCCCCACAGCAATATTTTTGGATATGGAGATCATTATGGGGTTGGATGGAGCTACGCACCTGAAAATGTATGACAAGAGGGATAGCATGCCCACTCTAAGCGACTACTACTACCACCGTAGATTCCCCCACTTTGATGAGACCAAGTGGTCGTTCCGTCAGCCTGAATTTAGAGACAACTTTTTGGTCTTGCGTCATGCGTGATGTGGATAGATGGATAAGGGAACGCAGTTTTAACTACTGTAGTGTTTCGTTATCAGGGTGTTGAAAGGATGCATCGGATTCTTGACGTACTACATAGATTGATCTGATAGTTTTCAGAGGGGAGGCCGGTAGCCACGGTGGTAACAAACTTACATAGGGTTGGGAAATTGTTTTTTGTACGTGCCGACGGGAATTAATTGAGGATGATTGGAAAACCCATTTTCTGGTCGACATGTTCTTCTACAGTTGTTATTATTACGTGCAAATTAGACGTTTGTATAACCTTGACCCAGACGTTCGTCCATTCTGCAAGATGTCTGTAGCGTCGGGGTATCCTACTATGTGCCTGGCACATAGCAAGGGATGTCCCAATCAACAAGGGGGAACAACGTATCTTGCGTCCCTTGAAAAACAGTCTTCGTAAGATCTGCTCTCACGCGCCCTCTTATTCTCCCCTCTACCCTTCTTCATCGTCCCAATGTATACACCTATAGAAGAGTCTTCCCTTCCATATACAGGTGACCTACCAGAGGATACGCCCCAGAAAGCGAGGGGTGGGGTCCGTTTCTCCAAATCTTAATACCCTGGGGGGTCCAAAATTCAAAATTCCCATCTATCTGCGGAGAGAATCTTTCTATTGATAGCGTGTGCCAGTCGCTTTATGTGTGATCTCTTCCCCGTCGTGAGCTTGCGGACTAGCAGGCTTTCGGATCCAGCCGTGGTGCTATAAGAAGTTGCGTCCGGTAGGCATTGGCAGGACAAAGCAGCTACTACATGGATCCTCGCGCATTCTATCTCGCTCCTCTCTCTACATCTTCTAACTTTCGGCTCCTTCACGTGTTTCAAACAAGGTTTGTTGCTTTCGATTGTGGTTTGGTACATCGCCCTCGTGCTCGTCCACATGCTTCCTCGGCTTGTTCTGCCTGTCATTCCTCTTCTGTTCCTCTAAGCTGAGAAGTGATGGGGTCTTCGTCTTCTAAGATCATGGAAGTGCTGCTTGCAACTTTTGCTTTTTGTGACGTGCCACAATTTTTCTACTCTGACGTCTACACATGATGTTAAACAACAACTCCCCCTATATGTTTGCTAGTGTTCTCTTGTATAAAACTCAAGGCAACTCCTGTTTGCTTTTCATACATGCCCGATCGCCCAGCTTGGAACTCAACCATTTTTGGAACCACCCATGCAACACTGAGGCTCAGAGTGACTGCCCTCCTTCTCCTCCTGAAGCTTGAGCAGTAAACGCTTGGACGTTTATTTTGTTTTCTTTCGAATTGCTTCCTTATTTCTTCGGTTTCTAGGCTACGTGTTGGGGAGAGAGACGCACGAAACGCTCATCGTCTCTCCGGCCGCGTTAGCTGCGAAGGCCGGCGTCAACTCTTGCAAATCCATCTCTCTCCCCACAAACACTAGCCGGGGGACTACGACTGCAAACGCAGGAGTCCCAAAACTAACCAAGTCCTCAAATGGTACACACCATTCTACAACACCCGACTAGATACCGAATATTCCCGAACTTATGCCCCCACCTTCGAAAGAAAAGGGATGGGAGGGCGGGATTTTCTAAACTGCCGCCGCTACTGCGTTAGGCGGCTGCTGCTGTCGTTCCGTTGCTTCACTCGCTCTGTAGCTGTCACACGTTACCCGACTTTGCTACAGCCCCTGCGTGGACTCGATCACGGAATGACACCCCCAACTAAAGACTAATAATTCCAAACACCGTGACCCTGGGTTTCCGGTAGAAATGAAGCCAAATTCTAATTCGAATGTTACAAAATAAACACCAGTTTATTCTATCTGCTTCGACGAACAAACCTTCCTTTTGTTTTGTTTTCTTTCGAATTGCTTCCTTATTTCTTCGGTTTCTAGGCTACGTGTTGGGGAGAGAGACGCACGAAACGCTCATCGTCTCTCCGGCCGCGTTAGCTGCGAAGGCCGGCGTCAACTCTTACAAATCCATCTCTCTCCCCACAAATACTAGCCGGGGGACTACGACTGCAAACGCAGGAGTCCCAAAACTGACCAAGTCCACAAATGGTACACTGTAATGGAGCAACTAGTGTATTTGCATTGTACGAGCGTTTCATGAACGTTGTATGAGCGCTTATTGGATATTTTGAATTTTCTTTGGATATGGATATTTGGCGACGTTGAGGGGTATTGAAGTAGCTTGAAGGAAGATCAAAATCCCAGCCCCGCTCCCTCACTCTCCGAGTGGGCGCTGAGCGGACCTGGTCTAAGAAGGCTAAAACAAGAGATCAAACAACAACTGTGAGTACCCGAAGCCAGGAGCAACGAACTTGCTCCCTTCCCTCTTTTATTTCTCTGTTCCTCCATAACATTGTGGCGTCGTCTGGCATTTGGACACCGGTCCTTCGCTTCGGTGCTCATCGTTCGCGTGAACGTCTCGCATTTAGGTCTTCTCGATTTTTTTTAGTTACCTGGTTTTAGAGAGGGCACGGTTTTGCTCTCTCTGACTCACTCGGTGGGGCACTTTTTGTTTTGACGTGGGCGTTTGCTCCGGTCGTGTGCGCGACGGGCGTTTGCTCCGGTTGTGTGCGCGACGGGCGTACAGGCCTCATGCGCGAGGGCTTCCCCTCGCATGGCTTTGTGTTCACCAAGGGACGGCTTGGTGGACGCTGGCCTTTCCTTTCCTCATTTGCTCGGCATGCATACTCGAGTAGGATTGCTCTCCATCCATGAATGCTTCGACCTTGTGCATGACGTGCATGTTACAAAAGACATGCCCCTTTGCTCCCAAGACGACACCTTTCTGCCTGCTTTCGGGGGAAAGCCTTACGCTTCTCACGCGCTTGGCTACCCCCCCGCATGGCGGCGACAGGCTG